ATTTTGCTCACTAGTTCCTACAGCTACTCAATTCTTGTTGCCTAAATGATTTACATCACGCTCACAGTATTTAAACATTTTTCTACAACAAAGCGATCCTTATACATTTTAAGTGTTTTTTGATTATCAAACTCTAAAGCCCCACTCTTGGTTGTGCGTTTGTGCAAATGTCCGGGCTTTTCTGTGCGTGTGTAGGGTGTTCATCTTGTGTCTAATGTTAAGGTACATATATTTATACTCATTTAAAATAACACATTTTTGTTTGCCTATTAACAAATACATCTAAAGTTTTTCTACCTTTAAACATTAACAAAAGCCGTTAATGTCTTTCCTTTAAAAATTACATGTGGTGAGCAATTCAGTAACAGTTACCTTGATACTTATGGACAAATTCTTCGTGGAAAAATTCAAACAGTTTGCTCTTTCTCGTGACGGAGTTTTCCTCCACGAGTTTAGCAACATCCGCAAATGTAAATTTGGGCAAATTTGTCAGATAGGTTGTATATATTCTCTACTGAATTTTCTCTGATCCCGGGTTTTCTAATGCATTGACGCTTGACCGGAACTAAGTTTACCCTACGATTACGTATTTCCGGTTTTCGTGAAAAAGGTCTATTTATTAATTTTAAGTGGCCTAAGCCCAAGTCGAACGCACCCATTGCTCCCATTGTGGGAGGATGGGCAAAATTACAACGTCGTCAGTGATTGGCTGTTGTGCTGGCGTTCAGTAAACCTCTGCTCGATAGGCCATTGAGTTGTCTGTCTCAGCGCATTCTCTAAAACGGAGCAAACTTGGTTGATCTAGTTTTATAGTCTGTGTTTAGCATCGTGATCGTCCTCATTTTTATCGATAAAAAATCGAGATTGTTTCATCGCCCAGCACTAGGCACTGCTTTGGTCAACTTCGTTTGGTCTTCCACTACAAGGCACGCGATGAGGGGGGCGTGTCACTGGGATGCCAGAAGTCTAAACATGGCAGAAAGAACGCGAGCTCTAGTGCAGTGTCTTTTAAACAATGAAGGTTTTATAGAAACTGTTGCAAAATCATGCAGCAACAGCACTGGTATGCCCGATCGTCCGCTCCTTCCGAATGCCATGCCCCCTCGTTAACCCCACGTGAAAGCCCTCATTTCCCCGACTCCCTGGACTTCTGATCCGCTGTTCCCACTCCATCCCGCTCAGCACGACAGAGTGCATCATTTGACAGAGTGCATGATGAAGTACGGTCAATTTTCAAAAGGTGCGCAAACAAGAGGGCCAGATTATCTGAGGCCGAAGCCGAGTGTATTTTTAACCCCTTGGGGCCGGCGGTCCCGCTGGCGGGATCGGACAGAAATTTCGCCAAACCGTTTAAATAACTCTGCGAGTTTTTGTCATATACATATTTTAAAAA